TGCGGCCTGGGGTTGTCAAGGCGCGGTTTTGCCAACCAGCCGTGCGACGGCCGCCACCTCGTTTGGACGTTGGCTTAAATGTCCAACCTCTTGTCTCCTCTGTCACAATTTGATCCCAATAGCTTTGCGTCTGATCTTTTGCCATGAACTGTAGTTTCGAGAACCAAGAGGACAGTAATGGAATATCCTTAAGTAGGCCAGGCCAGGATTTATTACTTGTGGCCAGGGTGTTCCGCGCATAGTTGAGTATGAGAGGTCAGAGAACAAATTTACGATTCACCCATTCCATCTCATCTAAGAACACACACAAGTCTGTTTTATTGGAAAAAGTTGGGTTTATTTGCAACTGCCTTTCATTTACACTCAGCAACAAACGCATAGAGAGGAGGCTGCCATGATGACTGTGGCGATCTACAAAATAACATCGTTTAATGACAAAGATGGGCGTTACCAGCGAAACAAGGAGACCCGTCCCAAAGATGGTTATCAGTACACTGAAGCGGCGAATGTAAGCTCGGAGAGTAGGAAAGCAACCCTATAAAACAGTTATAACAAGTGTTTACTGTGCCGTCGTTAGTAAAAGAGCACGATATAGTAAAATAATTTGTTCCAAAGGGTTCTCACGGCCAAGCGGACGCCAAAATAACATGCATTTCCACACAGACATTCATTGACTGCATACCCTGTAGTAGATGGCATCATTATGCGGTCCGTCTGTGAATTTGGGTGGACCGTACTGCCAAAACTGGCACTGGTAGACGTCTTGGTACTCATTCGTCAGCTGGCGAGTCAGGTAGTCTAATTTTCGATAGCAGCAGGTCTCTGGAACCATAACGAATGCAGGATTCGATTCTACAAACAATAGAATAATTTTATCGACATTCCAAGAAGGAGAACACAACAACGTGGATTAAGTCTATTGACACTGTACAGGTAGACTTTTCGACAGAGTTCGGTCGAAATATGCTAGTACATTTCAATTATGTTGAGGGAAGTGTAACTTGCAGAGAGTACTAAAATGCCGGTACGCCAAAATGACATTCAGACCCTACTGACTGTACTCTGTTATACGGTGGGCTATCCCGTAAAATGTTAACCGAAATATTGAAATGTATTTTTAGTTAGAAGGGATTACGTAGGAGGGGTTGTAATATCCATTATCTTGCAGTGCAATCCCTAAATTTTTTAATTGCTCCTGGATACCGGCCTTTGAAATAGCATCTTTCTGTCCGCTCGCATGAAGTGCACTTAGTTAAAATTGACTACTTATGTAGTATGGTATCTCTCCAGCGACTTTAGATGTCCCAATAAATTCATAAAACACGCTCAAAATATTCAGTCTTGTACTAATTTGGTAACGAATTATGTCATCTTCGAATTTTATACCCGAAGGAAGGGTATCTCTCGGTTATAAAAAGTTTTCAATGATGAGATTTTTATGAGCTGAAATATGAATTCATACAGCACCGCATCAGTATGTATAGTAGTGCTGTTTATGAAGCATACAACGCGGTTCAAATCCACCGCAAAATAGGCAGAATACCGTTGTCGAAGAAATCAAGGGAGACTGGAATGGCCATTTCTGGCTTACTAGCCGTCGTCAGCAGTCACACCCAGACCCGAAGTGTGGAACACCTAGGCCTCGATCCCGCGACCTGTTGGTTAGAAGTCCAACGCCTCTACCCACTGATCCACGGGCTCGTTGTCCTGTAGGTTGCGATCGGGAAAGCACAATGATGGAGAGGCGCACACCGGTCACGCTACAGAACTCACTCGTCCCGTTGTGCCTCGGTAGCCCCCTGAATATGACACTGAGGATGCACAGGGCTGTGGTTCTGGCAATGCCCCTGTACAAGGCGGAAGCCTGAACTGTATACGAGGACTAAGCAAGAGAATCCAATAATTGTCACTTCGGAGAATACCAATGATGAAGTGGCAGAAAAGAACCCGCCACACCAAAATCCTGGGAAGAACTGGTAAGCCCAGTCTCCAGGTCATAGAGGAAGACCGCGACGACTGTGATGGAGCGGCCGCATCTTGAGGATGGATGACGAGCGCCTGCCGAAGCGTTTATTCTACAACTCTGTTGCAATAGGTGCGTGCAGACAAGGCGGGCAAAAGCGTCGCTACAAAGGCAACCTCAAAATCTACACCTACAAATTAATTCTGGGATCTGTGATGACTTTACTTTAAGTGGTCAGGCATGTCACACTATCATGAAGGCTGGATCTGCCAACCGGAAAGACGTGACCAAGATAAAGAGATGGAGTCGCGAGGTCCAATTGTCGCGAAGTGCCCAATCTCAGCCGCCGTGTCTATATTATCAACGGAAATTCCGTACGCGGACTGTCCTCGTTGGACATCTTGGGACTAGTGCAATGAGACCAACCTCTCATTCAACAAAGCACACTGCCATCACTAGCATTATCTATGACGAAACACCTCGCATCTTGAAAAACGTCACAACCATTGCCCCTATCGCCAGCAATGTAGAGTCAACTATAGCCTGTAACCGTGATGATCGTACGTTCACATCACTCATCGGCCTGGTCGGTCACTTGCACACCTATCGCCTTGAGATCGGCGAATCAGTGCCAGCAGCCCAACATACGTCCACCACACACGCTTCATCCATCCGCGCTGCCTCGGGAGCAAGCACGGGTCTCTTCGGCCACATGTGTCTCCATGATGATGATGTCTAGTAAGTGCAACACCTTGCCCTACTGGAATACACAGACCCACGTTACACTCGGATCTAGCTTTACAACACTCACGTGCGTACCGTCTCTCCATAACGCACCATGCGTCGCTCCTTCAGTAAACTACTACCCACTTCGCCAACGCCGCCATGCCGGATGAAACCTCGCATGTCATATCATGCAGACTACATTCACGTGGGAAGCATGTCCTCCGGTGTGGCTTGACGCACGAATTGGGGACCAGGCCGTGTGTTGTACGCCCGGGCGGGCAGTTCAAGCTTGTCGGCCACCAGTTGTCTAACAGACTCAGACAATCGGCTGATGCAAGGGAAAGGAAAGATGGAGGAAGGCCAACACTGGGGACACCATTCCCGCGTCAGGCCATCGCTTTCGCCACTATAATCTGACACGCTTGGATCCATCACGACGTACAATATGAGTCGCGGTTTGGGGGGTTGCCTATTGTCGAGGTAACTCCGTCATTTTCAGGACTGAGAGTCAGGCTGCAATGGCTCCTTCTCGGTGTGACTCTTATTGCACTCTCACTCATGTGAGATCAGAGAGGCCCTTACAGTTATCTGGTACATCTAGATGGGGACCAGGTGATGCGTGACCAGGTGTAGGCTGTTGATTTAACCATGTCAACCACAATGCTCACTTCCGCACCTGATCGCAGTGCTATTTTCCTACCATCCGAGCAAGACGGATGAGGGATGAGAGAGTACGATATATGCTGTGCATGCCTACCTGCCTGTAAACAGATCCGCTCACAACCCCCCCCCCATGCTGCGCCTAATCCGTGGGGCCGGCATTAAACCTCGTCACTTGCGGCGGCCGAAATGTCAGATTTTTTGCGCAACACGTTCAGTCACTTGTTTATCAGTCTCTTTTACCTCCAGTTGCTAACTCATTTAAGAGAAAAGAAACAAGGAAATGAATACTATTCATACAGTAGCATCGCGCAGGTCAGATGGAGCCCGCCGAATTGGTTGCGCATTGTTGATAAGACCGTTTTCTTTGCGATATGCGATTATGCGCCTAATTGCGCACTCATACTCAACTGACCATGCAAATTCCCCGACGCCAACGCATATTTGGCAGTTGACCGGGCATTTGGTCTTTTGTCACTGTGGGAGCCTTCGCAAAGTATGTAGGCCGATTACATCCTATTTATTGGGCCAGGACCAGCCGACAACCCGCCGCAAGCTCGACTTTGATACCGACCAGCGAAGTCTTTAGATAGTAAAAGTCCCGCTCGTTTTCAGAACAGTCCACAACCCCGTCTTCGCGTCCTAAACTGTTGACTCACTCACACCATGCATTCCCACCATCACCTTTCCCAGGACGCTCAGAAGGCAGCCCATAGAACGATGGCTTATGATTGGCCGGCACGTTGCATGCTTAGGGAAACGCCCATCGCCGATGGCCGTCTCTGCGTGATGGAAATAGACGCCAGCTAGCCGTAGTGCTCCGGCCACGAGTATTGTCTTGTCGCACGACTTTCGCCTAGAAATCATAATAACCTCATGTCTGGAACCACTTGGGACGTTTTTGCAGCACGTGAGATCGACTTCACGGCGTTGTCACGCAAGCTATACTATGCTAATGCATCGGACGAGAATGCAAGTAGAACGCACTACGGAAGCTAGTTCGTAGATAGCCAGCCACAATGTAAATCAGCCGATAGCTGGGCTATGCTATAAGAAAGCGTGACGGTGTGCAATCCTTAGTTTTTAAAAGAGGACTTCGATTTCAACGTTTCCCGTAGTTGTCTGCATGCGCCAAAAGGCCTTGGTGGACCTGACACTTGTTTTTCAAACACTGAGCCTGCTTTGCCGTCTGATTTATGTATACCACTATCAGACGGAAAACTGAGAACACAAAAGTCCAAGTTAAACAAAATAACTGAATCCTGGCAAGGATGAGTGTGAAGACCTCTGGACTGTTTGGTAGGGCGCGACCTATTTTTATCTTCTATAGCATAACGAGTAAAAGTAGCCTGTTTGCAAGTTATTTTGGCTTCACTCCACGTGTCTGGTATACGAAAAACAAGCTCTCTCCCTACTGTCAACTAATGCTCATGGCCGGCCCGTCGAACTGGCGGTGGAGACCAGTAACACAACAACTCCTGGCCTGGAACTCAACTGCCCAGAACAGTGTCACGTTGGTTCTGTTGAAAACGCCTAGCTGATCGTTAAACCCACAGTCGCATGTAAGTCTGCGTTTATTGGTCAGTACCTCTAAACCTAGGCTTGAACGTTGCCAGTCGCGTTTTTTTAAAAAAGCAATAATTGCTCTCATCCAGTCTCCATTCTTGGCGCCTTCGGAACTAAAACTTCTCCAGAAGTTTCCTGGCTCATTAGCCGCCGTTAGCCAGTCATACCCAACCCCCAGAGTGTAAAACAGCTGGAACGCGATCTTGCGACCCGTTGGTTAAAAGTCCGACGCCCCTAACCACTGAGCCAAGGGATAGTTGCCCTACCGGTTGGGTATCGCTGGCTGACGATGGCTAATAAGCCGAAATGGCCATTGCGGTCCTCCTTGTCTTTGTCGGTAATATTATTCGGCCTTTACCATGCGCCGCTGAGAGGCCGTTGGTTGGGCTTGAGAAGAAGAGTCCTAAAGCACAACGGGACGAGTGAGTTCCACAAAAACGATTGGTGAACGCCCCTCTACCATATGTATGCATGTACATTCACTCAGGCATGGGCGCACATTGATCCGTTGGCGTTCCGAAGCAAAAGAGCTTCGTATGTGCGACAGGGGTCACGACCTGGCAATCACCTGCTAGGACAAAGTCAGTCAGGCTATGATGGCAGAGGGGAGACGACATGGTCTGGGGGTAGGATACACACACACAGCGTCAGTACCACAAGCTCCGTGGCCGGACCAGGTCACGACGACGACGACGACGACGACGACGACGACGACGACGACGACGACCAAAGACGGCATCGGGCGCAGTGGCTGACGAAGCTTGACAGTCTGTCTACGCGCACCACGCACGAGCTGGCCTGCGCCCGATGAATCAGGTTTTCACAGAACCAAGGGGACGCCTCTGATTCCATCTGGGGGGGGGATGCTATATAGGTCATATTCAGAAGTAGCCTGACTGTCTGTCCTGAGAGGATCGATTTATTTCTTCGGGTGGCATCCTCTTAAGTCCCGGCGTTTAGCTCGTTGTGATGATTCCAAAGCGCGTCAACTTTATTATGCTGAAGAATGCGTTGGAGTGACGTAGGCACGGAGCCCCCAGAGTGGACCTCATCGTCACTTCTCTCTCTTATTACGCGTGCCGGACAATCACAATAGTTCAGATGTCCTTCTTGACTGTTATGTAGACGATAACAATCATTAAAATAGCACCCGGCAAATACGATCACACTGGCCCACGTATTCACTTGTCACATCACCCATTCCAGCCATATGGACACACACAGTATAGCCGCTCATAACTCATGCATTAATTATGGACACTCAACCATACTCATGTATCAGGAAAGAGTCTTACCGGATATGGTGTGTGCATTTAAATAAGGCATGTCATTAGCAGTCTGGAACCACTCGGAGTTGAGGTACGCGTTCCAACCGCTGTTCTCAACAGCACAGCACTGCAGATAGCTTTGCATGTAGTCCCAGACAAGGGTGCTCACGGCGGAAGATCCGTAGCTCTCGTTTAGACTGCGCAGCATAACCGTCTTGATCGCCTCCTCTGACTAAAAGGTCATGTAAATTGAAAAGTCGGTTGACAGAGGAAGGATCTTCACCAGTATTATATTAAAAGAATTTGTCGGCAGTACTAGTACAAGAAAAGCAGTTATCCACTGGTGAGGATTTTGTTGTCATTGCAGTTTATTACGCCTTATATTTGAGGATAGAAAACTTTAAAATTGAACTTGGGTTTTTACGGCTTGATGAGGTATCCATATTGTGCAGGCTAATGTTTAACGACCCACCGTCATCTTACTTCGTGTGCATTTGGGTAAGTCTCGAGTTCAGGTTTGAGGACGAATTTTGACCCTCACTGATAATCCACAACAGGGGAGTGCTTGTTCAGTATGCAACTGAGTTTTACAAAATAATAGAAAATTTCGGATGTGACGTTCCAAAGACATGATAAAGTTATGACAGTGGGTGCTCGCCGATCAGGTTACGGAACATGCTCGTTCCGTTGCGCCTTGGGGCTCATACTAGAACCCTCGCAGTGTACGTGTTATAGATGACAATATACTCGAAATGGATCGAGTAAACTCCGTTCAATCGGCGATTTGACATCATATGAAGAAATCCGCACAAACTGTCAGCTCCTAACCAGTTTACAACAAACGCAGTGACGAGAAGAGACAACATACCTGAATTCCACCACCACCACCACCACCACCACCACCACCACCACCACCACCACCGTGGCCTCGACCGATGCTTCTCCCTGCAGAGATTGGCCGCAGTTGGAAGAGTCTCAGGCGCATGAACCTCGGTTGTCGTTTGTCCATCCGACTGTCCTTCCTGCCTTCTGATCCGGGAACCATCGAGTTGTCGAACATCGTACCTCAATGGCCCCACTCTCTTCGCTCTCTCATACACCAGTGGTTCATCCGGGTCTTTCAAACGACCGGTGAAGAAATCGGCGCAACGACCGAAGACCCGTGCAGGCCTATTCTAAAGCATGTACAGAAGACTCAAAGCAGACAGAGAAGTGCCCACTGTGGTTCAGTGTGGCCTTTGCTTTGATCCAGCGCAGCAATGGCAGAGTTCATCTGGGGGCATACCATTAACAAAATCATAGTCTGCTTCCAAAGAAAAAGACTTACGGGATAGGGAAAGAAGATGACGAAGACGATTGCGACGATTACCAGCACAACGAGCATCAGAGTTCCAACAAGAAGCTAGCAAGAAACACGATTGTAAGGTCCGAGGACTCAACAAGGACCAACCGTTATCAGCAGAAATCTGTTGTCCGCCGACATTCCGCAGAGACCAAATAATGCCAGACAGGAAGTGCAGAGACTGGCAAAGAGTAGGATATAAACGCCGTAGTAGTAGATGGAGGCATCAAAGGTGCGGGAGATCTCGCCGTGCGTGAGGATTGCCATCAGGCTGATGCCAAATATAGTACCTCCTAGAACCTACACATGTCCAGATTGGGGGTCAAGTGGGAAGGCTAGCTTACAAAACTTGTCACGCAAAAGAGGTTGCCCAGGGAGTGTATGAAGAAGCCACAGGTGCAGAGGTGGTCGGGATCTTTGTGTTTTGCGGATGTGATTGCCGGCCGCATCCTGCGATGGAAGTGAAAAAACAGGGAAACGTAATTTCCTCCTGATAGAGATTTGGGTTCTGGATATCATTCAAATGAATGAACTTTCTTCATATAAGAGATGGTATTTAAGGGTTTCCAGAATCCACAAATTATTTGACCTCAGGACTCTATTTCTTCATTATTTCATAAAATACTTTTGTAAACAAAGACTAGTCGTTGAATAGGAAGCATTCAATTCAGGTCGACGTGGCTGAACTTCTGTTTCACAGTAAAAGATTACAAACTCTAGGAAATTAGTCGTAAATCTGGTAGTAATAAGTGAAGCTATAACGGCTAAGACAAGGAGCGTAGCTTAGCCACTACAAGCAAGTGAGCCGACATAACACGAATACGCAGTAGCCATATGTGATTGAGGTTAGTTGCCACGAAATGCACACTCTGGACTTTATCGTTCTTTTTCCTGACGTCCAACGAACATATAATTAATAAAGCACGCTTCTCGACACCTTTTCGCAACCTGCGAATGATTTAGTCAGGGTCGGATCTCATTTAATAGCCGTACCTGCGTTAGAGAAGCCCCAGTCGCCTGTCATATGGGACCGGTGATAATACGGTGTTTAACCCTAACCCAAACTCCAACCCCTAACCCCAGCCCCTAACCCCTAAGCCTAACATCTAACGGGTGCGGCTACGAAATAAAATCTTGCCCAGTTCAGTAACTTGTTTGCAGAGGTTGAGAGCAGGACCCAGTCTTGCGGGACAGCCTTCTAAAAAGTCCACGGTTGGAGTATTCACCGTCGTTTTCAGTATGGTCCTGTTATCAATATCATTGCACAACTATTTTTCGATCTTCCTCCAGGCATGCAACCTGTGTGCCTGTAACCAATAGACTCCCCGCTATCGACACGCTCAGCAATCTATTTCACTTCGAAGTCCGGATGGCGGTGAAGTTCGTTACTGACTGGTACGCCCTGCTCTGCGCTCAGAGACGTACTTTAACCGCCTCGTACCAACGTGCCAGCTCAACGACACAGCTGTCCTTCGCTTCATCTGCACAGACAGCGGCATCAGGCAGTACATGACCATTCGAGCAACGAGTCACACCGCCACCCCTGACAATCGATACAACGATTTAACTGCTTTCATCGCGCCCAATCTTATCCGTTTTTTGTATGTCTGAAGGTGAGCTATGACTAACAGCCAGATCGGCGGCACATGCCATAGTTTTTCAACGTCCACTCGTGACACGGTTACTCCCCCTCTTTGACAGAGTTCCGCTCGTATCGATTGGACTGATCGGCTTCACAACAGCTCAACCGTCGATTTCGACGAGGTCCATGGCGTGCTCCGCAGCAGGTTGGCAGCAGGGACGACCACTTGCGCGTGCACTAGGTTATAGTGATAGCAGACTTGTAATGCATCTACTGCACTCTCCTCCCCTCCCCCCCTACCTTGACCCGGTGTCAAGACGGAGCCAAGAATACCGGAGATGGCAGAGGGCGCAGGTGACTGGCACGATAAAAACACGCACCTAGGCGTGCCACTGCACCTGTTGGTCTACAACGAACACTTGATCGGCACCTTGGACAAAACCAAATATGCAGGGGGTTGTTAGGATCTCAATGTGGGCGGTGTAAGCCTGTAACTGTGCTAGTCACCACATTCCAGGCGTTGACAATTTTATGAGTGTGCACGCCCAATAGCGCCTGTCGGATGCCGATCAACCCCGCCCCGTTCGTCCAGCATACCTATCATTTGACCCGTGTTAGGGGCAAGCACACACCTACTGTGTCAGACATAACTTAGTGTTGTCAACACACGTCCTCAACCTGGCAGCGGGCACTGTCGTCTGAGACGACAGATCGGCATTCTGTGCAGCAAAAACTCCTACTTCTGACTCATCTATCTTCTCCTGATAATCAGGACTTGGGTTGAGGTCGTGTTGGTTAAAGTATACTCATAGCTTTTGCCGCTGGAGATAGTCTCAAATTCACATAACTTTCTCTTCAATGACGCCTAAACCTCCCAACAGGTTCGCTTCCTTTTCCAAGCTTTATCATTTTGAATTTTGATCAAACGGGAATCTTAATAAAATGTAGGTGACAGGCTAAATTTTAGCAAAATGACTGGCAAGGGGCTTGAGAACCAGGTTTGCGGGGACTGGACTCTGACTACATAAGAACCAATAAGATTGACGGAACAAGTAGAACTTGGCTTAGGAAGCAGGTGGCACGCGGTCACCGCCTACTCTCTGGTGTTCGTTTGAAAATTATGCAGATTTTTTTCACCCAGAAGCCCACACAATTTCTTTCATAACAAATTCCTCTGAATATGATTAATTTTTCAATGATGAGCGAAAGAGAAGGACTGTCTGTTAACAAGACCAAAGGATACTTGCTCAGGTCAAATAATTGGTGGCCAAAAACAGCGAGTTATATGTCTCCTTCGCAGGAATGCCTAAAGACGCAATATATACATCTTCTCACCTCAAGCTTGCACAGAGAATATTGGAAAATTCCGTTTCAACTAGCATGTGCATAGAACTTAGAGTATATTTGATGAGGTTTAAGGGTAAAATAAAAGTAATTCTACCGAAAGCCAAAATGACAGATTTATTAGCGCTGGCATTTATAACTCGGAATGTATGGTTGTAAAGTGGTCGGGGAGTGAACGCAAGCTCTCATTCTATTCCGGGATTAAACAGCTTAGGAGAATCCAAAAACCATTTTCAATTAAAAAATAACCTGATAGTTTAGACTCCTCTATCAAACGCAGAGTGGCCACAGCTATCCTCTGCTTCCCAACTTAGGCGCAGTAGTCTAGACGGGTGTGGGCTTCGTGGCCACGGTTAAGACCAGCTGTAACTTTTTTACAAACACATCAAATGAATTTCTTAAACAGAGAAAATGAAAGGGGAAAAAACAAGCAGAAACTTCCATGCTGAAAACTGCCATTATGTTTGAAAAACCTGGTAAAAACACATTTCCGTTGGACTGGTTTCGCTACTTATGACCGTGATTAGTTATAACTGGAAAGCAAAGTTTCTGATTAAAATTTACATTTGCGTTACGAAGCACCCTCATTGGCTAGTTACTTTGAAACTCCTAACTCACTGTTTTAAGTGGGACGAGGTAGGAAGCAATGAAACGGTATTTGGTCAGTATAAATATCGTTTCACTTAAGGAGCAGATATTTTGGCCTTCAATGAGAATCTCTACTACATGTGTCGTCATGTTTTTTCTTTAAAGTAAAAGCAGCTTTCTAGCTGATTACCAGAACCAGAAGCCTTTTGGCCTGGTATATTATCATAGGTTGTACAGTACATGACATGCCTTGTGTACACTGGAGCGTGGAAATGTCCGGGAAGGGGAAACCTGCTTGTTAAGTTAACTGAGGATAAAACAATAACCTTCATCAAAGGCTAGTAGCAAAGTATGCAGGGATAATATCTTCATGCGTAGCCAACACCGGTAAAGCAAGTAATTTTCTGCTAAAATGCAACGAATCACAGTGACATTTTAACGCAGTGAACGCTGCATGTCGTTCTAATAGGACTTTACTCACCGATCAGCACAACCTTGAAGCCATACATGAGTGTTGCGGAGGGACCGATGATGGCATCCATTTTTGTATCTAATAACCAAACCAAACCCAGATCTACAAAGTGCTGGTGTCCAGCGACTAAATGGTCGTAGTTTGCGCACCATCACCAAACATTTCGAGAACCACACACGCCGAACAGAGCAATTTTCCGCCACTACCAACATAAACAGACAATACTATTTACGTCGTCGACGTTCAAAACATGACCGGTGATCATTTAATTAAGATTTGTGGGATTAGTGGGATGGCTTGGCATTCCCCTTACCTCACATAGTTCATCATGTGGCATTTGATCATAAAATAGCTTCCTTCATGACCGGAAACCCATTTTCCATCGCCTAATTTTCCAGCAACAATACAGCCGGCTGCTCCACGATATGAGGTTCCTGTATCCTATTTTGCCTGTAATTTGCTAATATGGAAAACAAACAATCAAATTTGTAGTTTTTCTAAACTAAAATTTAACCTGCTGTTTTATCTTACCAGGAAGTAAGGACTCCCTTTCCAGTGATAATTGTTGCAGTTTGAAGTACATTTGTTTAATGTAATAGACGGAAGCGAAACAATGCTGCAGTTTTGACCCTGAAGGTTGCCATTTGCCTGTTTTCAAATACCTTCTAAATTTATGTTCCAAGAGAAAGATACATTAAACCCTTTTCTTTGGGGCTGAAAAGTCATTCTTAGACTGAGGGATTGAAGTTGCTCTCAATATATGATTTCTTAGGCATTTTAATTTATACAACTTTGATAATATCCATAGTTTCATTATTAAACTTCGCAACCAATTTGGTTCTCGTATTTAGCTTGGCACCATAACCCAAAAATGAGGTATTAACAACATATTGAACGACATTTAATTTGTAGTGGAGTCAGTTTGAGTGCAGTGTCATAGAACCCATTCATTTTTGGACAGAGCGTAAAACTGAAAAGGTTTATCATTATGTCTTGAAACTTTTGATAATAATTAACGAAAACATTTTGCTTTGAAGAGAATAAAGAGCTGTTAAGGTTCACCCACTGCTACCAGTCAGTATTTATTGTGTCAGAAAAAAGGCTATTAAGTCAAGATCTCGCGCATCAAAGTAATTTAGGCATGTAGACGCTGTATGAATTAGACGGAAAATCAAACGCTAGAGTTTGAGGGCCAGGTAGTTGCTCCAGGAAAGGTAAATTTAATGGCTTTTAATATTCTTCTCTTTAGTGGTTCACTAAGGTCGCTGTAATCTTCCCTCTCATAAATCACGTACTACAGAGTTCTTAACACCTTAACTTTCCCACCTTCGCAAATATGATTTGACCTTTTGCTGGCTTTATTTAAAAGTAGAAGAAGGAATACAAAAAAGACCGGAGGATACAAAAATGCCAGGGTTGATGAGGCAGGCCGTGAATATTTTGTCACAGAAACCCATACGAAG